AGCGCAACAACCCAGAAGACAGAAATCTTCATACTCATCGCCGTGATGACGGAGGCAGTACGACCTCTGAAACGTTGGAAAACATCGACCAGACTACACAGCGCAACAACCCAGAAGGCAGAAATCTTCATACTCACCGCTGTGAAAACCTCAAATCTTACATTAGGTTAGTTTCGATTACGTTTGGTTGGACTGCGTTGGGTTATGTAAGGTCAATTTTAGTTGGGTCATCTGAGTTGCGTACGGTTAGGTTATGTTGGTTCTGGTTGCGTTATAGTCGAAGAGTTGGGCTTGTTTGGGCTACAATGCGGAAAAGTAATGTTGAAAGTCAACTGTCTCGCGACACTCGAACCAGTAACAGTTTTGGGGCTTGTGACCTTTGATCTTGTAATCTCCCGGCAGAATCAAACAATTTACGTCTTCACGTCATTCTTCTATCGTACTTAGTTTCCGAGTTATACAAAACATCTTCAGCATGACTTGAGCTCAGAATAGTTCTTTAGGGTTTCGACCTTCGTTCCTCTAATCTCTTCGCTTAAAAAAATTTGGTCTTGACGTCGTTCTTCTATCGTGCTTAGATTCCGAGCTGCAAGTCCACAAATCACCACCAGAACTCGAACCGAGGATCGTTTCTCCGGGTCAAGATCGTTATTCACGTAATCTCGCCGAAACAAACAGCTTTGGTCTTTAAAGCCGTTTTTTATTGTGGGAAGCCCACCGAAGGGATGACATTCCTTAAATAATAGGCACATTACATCTGAGCAAACGCTAACACGCACAATAAAAACACGCGTAAGTTGATGAACACAGGACTCACAGAACCTGCTTACGTATATACGGGAGTCAGCAGCAGGCTTGTGTTTCAGGGGGCCCGGTGGGGCTAGCGCGAGCTAATTATCTGAGCCCTATGTTACCGGCACATAAGAAATCAGATGACATAGGCGATGCACTAGTATGCACATACATCCATATATCGATACATCTTGCCGATTTAAGTGCGTATTTCTTGTCCATATAATTAGTAACCATCATACAAGCTACTTCCAAATGCCGAATGTGGTTGGGACCCGCGTTTGTTCGGAACATTATACTGACCAAGTGTAGCGAATTCGAATGTAGACTGTATGTACATCATTTCTTTGTTTGATGCAAAGATAGTGCATGGATTTTTGTTGGTACAAGCCCGTTCTTAATGAATTGGCAGCAAACCCCTAAGAATGAGGAACTGGATAGAAGAAACTCCTGTTATTGTCATTTCCGCAGCAACTTCGAAGTGCACGTGGAATGTATTTCCTCCCGGACATAAAACAAGACGTCATTTCATACGAACCTCACACACGCCTCATCCACCAACAGGTTGGTTCCCACACGGAATAACTTCAAGAGGAAAAGATATATAAATTGGGTTGGTCACGAATTGCGCACATCCTTGTGTTTTCCAGTTCAAACGAAAAGAGGATATGTTTTATATCGTGATATGTAATAAGAACCACTCATATTTATTGCGCACGTGATTATCCTAATAGGAAATGGTAAACATGTCCACTTTTCCCCGCATGGGAAATCATCGAACGTCATAACAACCGTGAGACGCATCTCGCTTTACGATGTGATTTCCTGTTTGAAAACCGTCGGTTAAATGGAAATTTTTAAACGAAGATTAATCTGGCATTACTTTAAACAGCAGTTAATAGGGTATAGGCTAATCCACATAGAAATACCTGAGAGAATACAAACACACACACACAAACCTATACTCAAATTAACTAACTGCATGGAGTACACTCCTCTCTGAACAACTAACAATCGCTAAGGCTGAAAAAAGAAGCTCCCCACTTTTCATGGAACTCTAAACTACATTGACTTAACCATAAAACAGCCCGTCACATATTCATATATAAAGCTAAATGAATCTAGTCCACATCACCCCATTCTATTTAAGATGTATTTTAATAATATCATCTCGCCTATGCCTAGGTCTTGCGAGTAGGCAGTCTTTCTTCCTTTCAGGTTTCCCAACTTAAAACTCTGCATGTATTTCTCATCTGTACAGTGCATCATTAAGTGAATTTCGTGCCAAATTTTAGTTTGCAAGCCAAATGAATGTTCGTAACTTTTATCAGCTTCAGGATAAAATTCTGCAACGCAAATAAAACAGCCTCTTGTTTGTTACGCTCACCATGTCTCTGAAATTAGCACGAGGAAAAACAGGTTCAGAATTTACGACATCGTTCAGCTGTACCAGAGCATCACTTGATTACAAAATTTACCTGTATTCTGGTGAAATGTGATGTAAGACTTCTTTTAAATCCAAGAAACAAGTACTAAGAAATTACTTCCATCCTTCCTGATTGTGGAACAAAGGCGTAAATTATTTTGTTCTGCAAGAATTTTTGAAAAGTCCCCTCGTAACTTAACTACATGCTTATGTTTAAAGATACAAACTCCTACTGTTTTCTCCTGAAACAGTAGACCTATAAACAGAAAAGAACGATTCTGACATAAAATGTAGCATACAAAATTTTACTTTAAAATCCAAATTGACTAATACACCTGAGATGAGTAGGTATATACGTTTCTTTGTCTTATAATTACTTTGCCAAAGCTATATGTTGTAGACCGAACAGATAATTAGGACGTTAGGTGGTTTGAGTATTAAAACTTCGCGAGTGAGAAAAATTACATTTTCTTTCGATATAAAAAATATAAATCTGCTTTGACTCAGTGCTATTATATACGACTCGTCTTAATATTTTCGGCTGTTTCCCAACCATGCCATAAATCCCCTACCGTCGGCGAACACGCCTTGCTGAATGACGCAGAAGTCCGGGTCTTGTGTCCTATCAACATTCGTTAAGTCCGGAAATTCTAAACCACATCCAGGCACATAGGATGTAGGGGGTGGGGTGGGGTGGGGGCGGGACAGCAATGTTTCACGTAAGTTATGAAGCGTTCAGAACCGATTGATTTTTTTGGTACCATCGGGTCGGAGCCGACCCCTGGTGACATTATGATCAAGTTCCCTCTCATAGGGACCTGTTCATATGTTTCCTCGGCAAATGATCCAGAAGTGTTTTGCCATTTCCTTCTTCTGTGTGTATGGAGTAATTGTTGAGATGCCACGGAGAAACCGGGGAAGCCCCGGAGGAAAACTCCGTGATACCTGGACCACGGCCTTGCCCAACACAAGTTATAAATCCGGGCACCACCGGGAATCGAACCCGGGACCCCAGGATTACAAGCCCAGCGTTCTGACCTATAATGATTACAGTTTTTAAAATGGATTTAGATCACAAATACACGTAAATTATTTGTTGGAATGTGCTGTGTATTACGCTTTACGCATAGGACTTCTTTCGATTTTACATGTACCCGAGAGACCAACGAAAACAGAAACCAATGTCTTGAAGATTTTGGCAGTTTGTGACTCTGTCAATTAGCTAGCGAATGAGCCCGATGGGTGCTCTTAAATTTAACTCTAGCGTGAGTGAAGAACACCTGATGGGCCAGCCCATGTATATCTGCTTGCGTTTCTCGCAGGAACTAGGCAACCCTATGACCTGAGGCCATTTATAGAAGATATTATTGCAAAAATTACCTTTGATACCACTATTGCATTTGTTATTCCCTTGATTGCCATGTTGACTTTAACGCCCAAGATTTGGAATATTAGTGTACTCCAAAGAGCACGCCTTTCCAATCTCGTGTATACAACGTCCATTCGCATTAAACTGTTTCCTAGACCTGTTATTACTTCTAAGGACAGAAATATAATAACATTGTTGTGTCTTATGGTTCTGAATATCTAAATAATGTAAATAGGGACAAGTACCGTGAGTAATTTGGCGACTATCCGGATATAATGCCGGTGATACTATGACAAATGCACGTGTTTTAGCGTCTAATGTGACAGAATTATTCCTGAGTTGCCATGTGTCATCACGTTCGCTGGTACGTGATTCTTATACTGAACCCCGATGCATGCAGTCGCATTTCAATCAGATTATGGCGCCGGAACCGAACCTTCAGAATACCAGGCAGGACCAGACGACGCCGAACATGACATCCGGAGTAACACACGACGGTGTAGCCTAATTTTGTTTCATAACTCTAAAGGATTCTAACAATGGTGCGTTACATTCAATATTCCTGTTTTCCTGGATTTGAGACCGCTCGATATTCTGAAGCAAGGCGGCTACGTTTCGGGAGCTAACTCTGCTCCCTTCTTCAGGTGAAAACACCTATTCTGTTCGGTCCCATATAAGGATTAGAATTGTGTTGAAATAATTACTACCACTGAACCAAACGTGCGGTCCTTCTTGAGAAGATGATAGGTGTTCATAGTTAAGAAATTCCCCGCCTTTAATAGAACCCTAGGGATCATTACTATATTCACAACACACTATCACTGGACCTTACCCAGATGAATCCGGTCCTATTCTCACACTCCATTTTGTCTTCTTATACTTCAACAAGTTCATCCTCTGGTCCGCTCCGTTTTCAGAAAAATTTATCTTCCATCCAAGTCTTCCGACTAGAGTTTTGTACACGTCTCGTCTTTCACTTCCGAAAACATGCCGACCAGTTATATGATATTCATCGCCCTGATGACGGAGGCAGTATGACCTCTGAAACGTTGGTAAACATCGACCAGACTACACAGCGCAACAACCCAGAAGACGGAAATCTTCATACTCACCGCTGTGAGAACCTCAAGTCTTATACAGTTATCAGTGCTCTTATTATCATTAGCATATCCATAATAATAACCACGTGCGTTGATATTTCCACGTGACTGGTGTCATAAACCTTCATCCAGATACCAAATCCTGATTATATCGACTGTTCGCAATTATACGTCAATACCACTAAAAAGGAGTTCCCCACGCTGCTACCTGGTAATAATTATTATTTGACTGCGTATTTGCCTTGTGACGTAGTGGCAGGAAATTTGCCAGCGACCACTGGTTGAGTCGTACTTCCCCGTCAGAATGGCCGTGCCCGTCGTACATAAGTGGTCCTGCTCTCAGACAGGCGACATTCTGGCTCTGAAAGCCACTCCGTTAAGATGTTTCCGAGTCTGAAGGATCCCGAACACGCCAACGTTCGCCTCAAGAATGTTGGACGTCAGGTGTACCTGTGCGTGACGCAGGACGACACAGGGAACCCAGTACTGGGCACCAAGACGCTCAACGAAAGCGTTGATCCTGACGGTGAGTACTCTGTTCCATATTCGTTGGGTGTATTTTGTGACCAGGTCGAGTGAGCGGCGAATTTGTCAAGAATGTGCTTTAAACCAAAATTAATACATTAATTACTCATATTTAAATAACGTTTCGCTACATAATGAGGGGCTTCTTGTGTACTCTTCGCCAAATATTACCACCATTATAAAATAAATGAGGATGAGATGGGTGGAGCATGCAGCACGCACAATTCTTATTAGAAAACCTAAACGGAAAGAACAACTCGCGAGTGGGTTGGATACTTAAGTAAGCCAAGACTTAACAAGAAAAACTGCACTTCGATTAAAATAACATCGTTGTATAGTTAAAATTAGTCCCACGCAACTCAAAACCCACCTACTGGCATGCGACGGTCATGTTCTGCGTTGGGACTAATTCATTTCACGGCAATTCGCTAGAGGCTGCGGCGGGATGCTGTCGAAGTGGGTTCTTGTTCAAGTGGGACACCTCTGGTACGCTGATCCTGAGGAGCCTGGGTGGGGCCAAAAAGTTTTTCAGACGGGCGGGTCTTAATTTCTTTGTGGCATTCCATTATCTGCCGTATTTTCATAATTTTGGTGGTGGGAGGTGGGGGAGGGAAGGTCAAATTACAGTTTTCATGCTCCAACCACAATTCATGGTGACCTCTGCCCCTCACATATTTCCGAGTTATTTCATACCACGATCTGAGCACCTTAAGTTGCGAGCTTTCGCTGGTTTCTTTATTTCCTTGATACAAATAGCGCGCTTGTAAAGTTTCCTGCTTCTTTATCCTTTGCATTTCTCTCCGCTACTAAATACTTCCACCATCAGAAAAGTACAGAATGTACAAAATAATTTAAGTATTATCAACGAAGTGACAAGCAAGGAACAGCCATCGTCACGTCGGGAAATCATCGCACACCTGTTTGGAAGGGCTGACGAAAACCAGGAATAAATTGTCAGGACTTCCGTCTCAGACCGGGACTTCCGAAATGCGATGCCCTTTACATTACGAGGCTCTTGATCTGCGAAGGCCGTAACAGAGTGGCAAAGCCACACTGACATGTTCATGTTCCTTGAATTTAAAGGCTTCCTTCTGCTTGCTTTCAGTCGATTTCTCTCTCTACTATTACACAAGTGCTGAAAGTGGAGAAACGAAGATGGTACTTCCAGTACACCAGGCCACCAAAGCCTGTTTGAGTATGACGCCAGACAAGAAATTACAGATATCGGTAAGTTATTTCATGTAATTATCTTTTTCAGTTTCATATCTGAAGCACTTTTGACGGTGTTTCTGGTTGATTTCATTTACCCCATTAAAGTTCAGTGTTAACTATATGCACCACTTGCTTTAACAACAGGTAACTCTTTATTCTACACAAAGAGTGTATTTAAGCGTTTCATATGATTGTCAGGATAAACATCGATTGTTTCCCTAAACAGCATTAACCAATTTAACTTTGTAATGGAGACACCTTGTTCTCTGAGGTATGAAATTAATTTTAAGCACAATTTAAAGGAATTTCGGGCTTCAACCGGTTACAGCTGCTCCATCAGCTACGAGGACAGTTTTCGCTGGTTACACACAACCAATAAAACGATGTTACAAATCATAACAACAACAATAGTAAAGTCTATATTTAATAGTAGTTTAGAGGTACAAACGTGATTTGCAACTGTATGATGTGGCACAATATTCATTTGTGCATTTCACAAAATATTATTGGGATGATGAATCAAGGACGGCGAGATAGACGGGACATCTAGAGCGCATTGGAGAGAAATTAAATGCACAAAATTACGCAGAAGAACCCCTGAAATAAACATCTAGGGGCTTCTTAAGGAAGATAATATTAAGATTTATCTCAAGGAAATAGGATGTGTGTGTGAACTGAATCCAGTGGTGTGTTCTTGAGAATATGATAATGAAACATGGTTACATAAGAGACAATAAATTTTTTGACTGGCTGTGTGACTATCAGCTTGTTAAAAAGGATTTAGTTGTAATATGACATATTTAAAATTTGGGCTGGAGCATTCAGGACTAATCTATTGTAAGATATTAATGGATCTGACTTCTTGGATGTTCATGCAGTCGCTGAAAGACATGGCACTATTGGACACGAATGAGCTCGAGGGTGTACTGGAGGATCCGTTGAGTTTCACAAAGGCAGACAGCAGGTTCTTCTACATCAAAACGTCAGGCAGCAATGTAGCACTTGAAGCTATGAATGGTAAGTTCAGAAAACGTGAAGGTTGGCAAGAGCATGTTCAATTAAATACAATTAGATTCCTCCTTAAAATACCAATAGTTGCTAAGCTAGTCAAAAATTCTCCATCTTTATGGAACACAAAGGTCCATTACTGCGTTCAAAAGGGGTCAACAATGGACACTTTCTTGATCTGGATGAATCCAGTCCAGCACCTTCACAATATTATTTCCTTTAGATACATTTCAATATTGTGTTCCCACACCTATAATGATGAGCTTAAAAATCCGTACTCCTCCCCCGATATTGTCAGGGTGATTAAGCCGAGAAGAATGAGATGGGAGGGACATGTAGCGCGCACGGATGGGACAAGAGGTGTGCACCAGGTATTGGTTGGGAAATCTGAGGGGAAGAGACCGCTGGGGAGACCTAGACGGGAGGATAATCTCAGGCAGGATCTATGGGAGATGGGAGATAGGAGTTGAAGGAGACTGGATTTTGTTGGCCCAAGACAGGGTCCGGTGGAGGGCTTTAGTTAATTCGGTCATGAACCTTTGGGTTCGGTAAGCCATCTAGTTAGTTAGTTCCCATACCTAGGTCTCCAATGTGGCTTCTTTCCTTAAAGTTTATTGAATTATTTTGATTAATGCTGCAGGTAATATGTGCGAGTGATAAATTATCTGAGAATGTTAGATACTCCTTGATTTGTTGTCGCTTTACAAAAATATTTGTTCACAGGTGTGCACTATAACAACTTCCTTTTGGTGAATGAATCCAACACACTGGATATTCAGGAGCACAATAACTCAAACTACCCGGAGGAGGTGCTGTTTTCCGTAGAAGATTTGGACACTATGGGAATGTACATTAACTCCTAACAGAAGAAAACTGTGTTACCATTAGAATTAAATTCTGAAGTGAGATGAATGACTAAGCAAATGGATGACGACACGACCAAATTCGTATAATCAGATTATTCATAGAGAAGTGATTCTAAATGAAAATTTGACAAATTCCCTGTGACTGAAATTCATTGTCTATGTTGTATAAAACCTTGATTAATATTTAAGACTGAGGAATATATAAAGAAAATTATAAGCATTACTCATGAATATCGATAAACATTTATCGTTCGCCTGGATTTTAATTACAGTCTCTTGGAATAATTTTGTATTACACAAAACTTAAATCTATGTACAGTCTCTGTAGAAGTATATTCTTAGTACGTGAAAGCCTACACTCCAACTACTGTTCTGAAGATGGAGGTGACGCATTCTTCTGAAATGCTGATAACTACCTACAAGACTATATGGCATCATGTCCAGATGACCGTAATCCATACATCAAATCTGGAAGATATTTATACATGTGTACTTACATAAGAAAATCATATTTGCATTTAGTCACGAATTTCTCTGCTTTCTGCAGCTCGCTACTGTGTTAACAAAAGCCCTGAACCAGTCGAATCCAGTCTGTACCCTCACATCCTATTTATTTCACATCAACTTTAATATTATCCTCCCATCTATCCATCTTCCAGGTAGTTTGTCCTGTTATGTTGTCTCACTAAAATTCCACATGTATTTCTCAGCTTCCTATGTGTGCTACATGTTCTGCCCATCTTAAACCCCTTATTTGACAACAGACACAATATTAAGTTTTGTATTGTGATATTAACATCTACAGAATACTGTATTCAAATTGTAACTAACCTAATCAATCTCTAATTAAATTAAGTAACAGCACTGCATCAACATCGATGTGAGGAAACAGCACCTAGCTTGTAACTGCACAGTTTTAGATTCTAAACTCACATGCTTCAGAATGGGTAATGGTGCCAAAACACTTCGTTTTATTATGTCCCAGTCTTGGGGCAGGCAGCATGCCTTTCTGTACTATTTCTTCTTAACTAAAGTCCATTTTAATTCATTATCTTTTGTAATGGTAAAGATAAGCATTTGAATTATACACCAATTGGACAAGACATTTAATTATGTAAAATATTTGTGTAAGTATGTAGGGTCTATGTAGAAATATATTTTATGAAATTTACAAGTGATTGTTATTTATTTATATTTCTTTCTGTTTTGTACACAGAAGATATGTACTAAGTGTAACTACATATTTTTCATTGTAATTACGTCCAATGTAACAAATTTGTTCATATAAATTTAATGAAGTAAAATCTTGTATAATTACTTCCAATATCCTTGAAATACCTGTATTTCTTTAATTAACTAACTAATCCACGACATTGTGTGGGTGTACTCGGATTCATCTGATTCGAGATACGGTCCAGTGGCGGCCTTGTCCGCACATGACAAAAAACTAGTGGGTTTCAAGAGTTGGCGCATTTATTGACTACCTGATCGACTATTCTTATGCAAGGGCAGTAACCCATATGCTAGTTACGCCAGTACTCACAATGCAATGGCGAAGTCTTAAGTCACTTTCGATATTTTGGATGTTTAAATTAAAAACCAGTAGCAATGTGTCTATAAGACAAATATTAGCATTTTACTATTGCTATCTTCTGAGTTTGTTGCGCAGCGGTTTGCCATCGTTTCATAGGTACTTGCTACATTCAGCGTATGGGATATAAACTAGGTTCGGCGCCCTTAAAACGGAGGCAGCTAGCAAACGTGTGCAACGTCTGTAAACTTCTACCAAACCACACGACAAAAAACCCGGGAGACAGCTATCTTCGTTCTCGTCGCCGTGAGATCCTTAAATCTTAAACATAAAACTTGTAAACAAAATTTCAAACTTAGTGAGACTTACCTCGGTCTGTCATTCTTCACCTACTCACACCGACACACAAGCTCGTAACATGATAAATGCGCATCGGCTTTTTGAAAAGTACGAAAAATCCCTTTCTCCGGAAAACAAGTTGGCATCAAACAGTCTTAGTTTTCATGACAAAAAGTGTATATTGGTATTACTGAGCTCATTAAATAAATGCAGGAAGTTTTTCTATGATCAAATTCGAACGTGAATAAAATTAAGTCTTAAACACATATACGAAAGATAAGAAATGCACCGAAAAATTCGTTGGAAAACCTAAAACAGTCTGCTTATATACATGTTAAGATAAATGAGAATGGTTTTAGAAAAGATGGATTTAGGTTAGGTGATGACTGAATTCATGTAAATCAGAACAGAGATAAAAACAGGCTCTTGTAAACACAGTAATCAATTTTCGGTTTTCACAAGGGAGAGAAATTTATTAACTGAGAAACTATCACGTTCTTAGAGACTGCTCCATGTAGTTATTAGGACCAATGTTCATCACCATCACAGAATGGCACACCCCCAAGTTGTGTATGAAAGAGACTCCTCCAGACATGAATACCTGCAAATATGTTGTATAAGCAGTCACAGACCCCAAATGATGGAGTCTTCCAGCATGTGTGTTTGGCAGCTGGCTAACAACCACACACACTTATAAAAAACAGAATGTTACTACAAAGGGTCTCATCCTGGATTCAACTGGCTTATGACAGAGGGTAATGGGAATTTTGTCTGGAAAACCATAAGAGAAGAGACCACTCGGAATACTCATGTGTAGATGGGAGATGCTACTAATTTGGGTCTTGCTGGGAAATAAGTTGGGGAGGGGGGAATGAAATGGATTCATCTGGCTTAGGACAAGGTACAGCAGCAGGTAATGAACATTCTGGTTCCATTAGAGACAATGGATTCTTAGATAGGTTAACAATAGTAAAATTCCAAAGAAGGGACTGCTCCACATAGTTTTGTCCACACATTCCTAGTAATGGTAACATTGAAGAATAATGTTGAATTAGACACCAACACTGGCCATTTTATTTTATTTTTTCCCCTTTCTCTGCTTTTTGTTTCCCAGGCTGTTAACAAGATTTTAGTTTTCTGAGATTACAGCTTTAGCAACATTCCATCCACTTCCTTCAACTGAATATTGACTGGTAACTAATATAGAGTCATCTATTGTTTCTTTATGATACTTGCTAATATTATATGTATAATAATAATATATATATGTATATACATTTTGTACAGAACTACAGTTCTCTCTCTTACACAGCAACATGCATACGAGAATAGCTATAGGTCACACTCAATATTCAACAATAGTACAAGTCTATGCTCTCTAGTAATAGTTATAATGGTGGTAGCAACAGCTGCCTATTCATCTGTGTCCTACTGCTTTAAGAAATTCAGCTATACTACATGGCAGCAGTAGTTTGGTTGTCATTCAACACAAACAGCACAGCTTGCTGATAAAGTTACATAAGTGGTGAGGGTGCCATCCAACTTCCAAACCAAAACATCATGAAATACTGCCCCTGGACATTCTGATATTCCATAGGACTTCTATCACAGAACCAGAAACCAACAGATCTTTTCTTTCTAGCAACACTTTACAATCCTTATGTAATATACTAAGTGCCTAAAGAAAGGACATGCTTTGAGAAAATAATGTAGGCTTTAAAAATAACCTTACTCCCATATTCAACACATTTTATCCTTAAACAAAATATCTCATTCAAAAACCTGTTACTCCTGTTATGAAAGTCATGATATTTTCAACTCTTTCTCAGCATTCAGTTTTCTATTCTCTGTCCCAATCTGTGATGGTTCTGGAATGGAAATGTTTTGGTTTGGAAAGACAATTTGGCCATAGTGTTTTAACAGCAAAGATCTTTGACATATAAATACATGTGTTTGTGTACGGAAATATACAAAGCTATATATTTAGTCTCACATTTTGTTTATAACACAGCAGTGCACACAACACACTCCACTACTTGGTGGCTGGAATGTTTTCCAAGAACAAATTGTGATAAAAAATGTAACTGAACCCAGTGGTGCCTTGTGCCTTACCTTCATCACCTCTTCTAATAACACAACACAAGGCTCACATGTTCACAGAAAACATTCCAACAGGCAATGTCCAAGTACAATGCAGCAGTGCTCTTTTTATCTAGACTCTGGCTTCCTGCAAACAAAATTTATTATGTTCTGTTTCTACTTTAACTTTTATTTTCATCAAATTGTCATTTTATTTTTAAATATATATACATATAGTAAGAGGCAATGGAGTTCCTACAGTTTGTAAATATAATATATTTATGGTAAGGAGCAAATGGTATTCATCTAGTTTCCCCCCATTTTTACTTAAATATCTCAAGATATCCAGCAGATTTGCAATATTAAGTTTTTTATTGTTATTTATAACAACAGTTACTTCATGAAACTTGAAAAGTATTTTTAATCTGCGGAGTTCAGTCTGTAAACTAATTGACATTAGGTTGAGGGCGTTCAATTCTTTCAAACATTACGCATCAGCATGTTTCACTTGAAACTGTCACACCAAAGCCCTTGTTTATTATAAATACTTTAAAACTACAGACAAAAAGCCGCATTCATATTTTCTCATTTTATATAATATCAAAATCACAGAACAAGTTTTTTTAATTGTGTTTCAAAAGGCCTTTCTCCTGTCTTTAAACTATAACAGAGATGCTTAAAAATATTTTTATAGGAGGTTCAGATATTCCCTTTCATAGAAAGAATTGCAGGAGGTTTAAATATTGCTCATGGGTAAAGTGAAAGAGGGGAACTGCACAGGTTTAGGAAAAACTGACTAGTCGCCAGACTTAAATTCATGGCATTGATATGAAGATCAAATGTCACACTGCAGGAGATGCAGCAGTCTGACACATTAGTCTATGTGGTATATAATCTTTGCATAGGAAGATATGCTGCTAGGTTCAAGGACCAAAACCCAGTACCTTCTGTGAACCACCACACAGCCACTACCCATAATTCCTGAAGATGGTGAGAACTTTGCTGTACTAAGTTACACTGTAAAAGAACCAACAGTCGCGTACTCACAACCAAACATCAGGAATATGCATTTGAAACATTACATTTTGGAATTAAACTACTCCAGGTGAATTAATTTCATTTAGTGCTGAAGCTGCGCTTCACCCAGACGTATACAGCAACACCATGTTCATTTCTCAAAATAATCTACTAATATTGTTCAGTTAATGTTACTTCTCAATTCAACAGTAATGATACAATGACATTTAATTTCTGGCATATGAATTGTGCAAATCACTTACAACCACATTATTCTGTTAATGACTTCACATAAAGTTTGACCAGTCAAATGTTTCACCTACTACTAGACTGCTTCTACATCAACTTAAATTCTGTAAGCTAACAAACTGTGTAATATAACCACTGTTTGCAACAGGAAAAGACAATGAATTATACATATATATGATATTACATTTTCCTCTGTTACAAAATAAATGTTGCGTACCTCACCTTCTATACATGAGTTTGAAGCAACACAGGAAGCATTATCTGCCAATACTTTAATTAACCCCCCTCCCCCTCCCCTAGAAGGCATTACAACTTCATCACTTTTTTCTTTCACACACAAAGATGCAAACAGTTACTCCATTTTAAGGAAAGTGTGGGATTACCTTCCAGGCAAATCAATCGGCAATGCCCAATTTCAACGAGACAAGTTTACCAAGCAAATACAGTAATAAATCCCTGGCAGAGTGTTGAAGTAAACAACAAAGTAAAAGTAAAGTTACAATATTAGGCAGAAATAAGAAATGAACAGATAACAAGAACCAATAAATTGTTGTTTCTGACATAGTTTATACAATACAGGACTGCCAATACATCAGAATCAAGAAACACAAAATTACAAAAAGCTTGGACAGACAATATCAACATTAAAGATTTAAATCAGATTACTAATAAAGTAAAGAGGCCACAGTAATAAGCAACAGCAATAAATAACAAAGTAATTCAGATATAATGATTCTTGTGTGTGAATTAGTTTGAGCATATGTCGATACTGTGACAGTAGTCTTAATATCAGGCTAGAGTAACAAGAGAAAAGCTATCATGTCCTAGCTACAATAAACATTGAAAAATTATCTCTAACATTTTATGTTTCCAGCAAGAGATATGAAATATCGTGGAACCACATAAAATTTGGCAAGTGATGTGATGGGTGTGAGGCAGCAAATGTAACCAACTAGCAGGCACACCCCATATGAAGAGAACACAACATTTGTAAAACGCATGCTCTAATCTCCTCACCCTCATTTCTTATTAAACAATTCAGAAACGTTTTTCTTGTACTTAGATCATATGTTTTTACATCTGCTAATGGACAAAAATTATAACAGTAACAACAATAGTAACAAACAAGAACACAAACTTATAAACAGACTTCTTGTTAAAAACTGTATATATATCATGTCAGTTCAAATATACGAGGTACTGCTGACCAAAAGCATAATTATGGAACACTGTTTAAACACGCAACTCTATATTCTCTACCTTAAACATTTTATTCACCTCCAAGCCTTTCAATGATGCCAAGTAACATTCAAACAATGAAATTGCACGTGGACTCCCATCAAATGACAGATGAAATAAATATCTGGTATCAAAGAAGTGTCACTCTAAATTATACAAACAGCTGTTAACTACTGGTATTTACATAACATTTGTTGTTATCTATGGAATACAATTTACGTAAATATTCTCTCTCCCATCCAGAGTCAACGCTGTGATTACAAAGTAAAATGCAGTTATACTTTGCTGCAACAAAGCAAATTCCTACACTATTACAACAAAAGATAACTCTGTTAATGCAACCAAATATAAGTTTATCAGTTCTTTGACCCCATTTTATCCTTATGGTACCAGTGCAATTTTTAAAGGATTTAAATATAAATTCCCAATTTGATCACACTCTCCTGTCCTCCAGAGATCTGGTGACACAACTCACATCTTGTAACTGAAAAGTCAAGCGCTTAACCACCAGTTACATGTGCGACCCCACAACATAATAAGGATCACTATGTTTCTACACAACTCAAGGTTTCCACATCACTTTTTGTATCGGGAAACATTCTGTAACAGGCATAATAATTTTGTCATGGACTGGCTTTACAGTTCACCACAGTAACTGTGCATGGTAACTCTGAACCACTGTTAAGGGCTATAAAAATAAATACCCAGACAATCACCCTCGTGTATTAAAAACCAGTCAGTGAGATGAACAGCACAAAACATGATCATATATCTTCAATCACACAACCCTGCTGAAAGTATTCGTTGTTTGGTACAAAACATGACCCATCCATATAGAATTCCCTTACATTAATGTGTCTGCCTTGGTGCACAGGACTGTGCTATCTGCGTATAGGCCAACAACTACTTAAAATATTGCCCCTCCTCCCCCTCAAGGCAAAAGGGGAAAAGGAGAATGGCCACTCCTCACTAGCATTATCACTGTCATCATCATCTGAGAAAAAGAATACACCTAAACTCAAAGTTACTGCTTTGAGCTCTTATGAATATCAATCTCTAATGTTACAGGGCAGTGGCAGTACCTGTTTCCTGTTTTTAGCCACTGACGTCATCACATTCTGTCAAACCACTTCATCCCCTTGACATACACACACTCAAGCACCATGGCTTCCCTTGGTCTGTTACCAAACAGTAACCACCGAGTCCACTTTTTAACCAACACAAAATGTAGAAATAAACAACCTCAAAAGGGACACAAATATTTTTTGGTTGCAATTATTCAAGTCCTCATCATTTCTGGCAACAGAACTCCATATACGTGTATATATAAATTACCAATGTCAACACAATGGAAAACTCTTCCACTAAGTGTTTTCAAACTTTGCAACTAATAATCAACAAAGTAAAAATAAAATAATAGCAGTAATAATTTATATACATTCTACAAACAATTATGGAAGCTCAAATGCAATAAATGTTTAAATTTCTTGGTGGATTAGGGGGAGAGAATCAGATCACTAACAAGCTTCAGCATCCTTACAATATGCTACCGAAGATTAAACTTCGCCTCCATATGACATAGGGGTGTCCACAATAAACACCTGCTGCTAGTTCATATCTCACACAGACTTTCTGTTGAAGCAAACAGTGCACAGTGCAATCAATGCTTCTACATGGACTTCAGGATATTTCTAAAGTTCACTTATATGAAAGCCCAACATTCCATTGTTTTCACAACAAAGTCTTCCTGTGGAGCAAGTGGTTCATTGCCATATGTGTTGCAACGTTGAGTCCGCCCTTGGTACAAGTCTCCATCTAACCATAACCCAAACTTCCCACTGCAAAAACAGACATAACTGCCTTATTAGAGAAAACAAGGAAGTAAATAAAACATCAAGACAATTCAATATTCATTCTACTGGCCAAAGGTATGACTAATTCATAGTTAAATGTAATTAATCCATTTGTTGATAAATTAAGCTTTCAGCACAAATAGTCTAACTAAAATAGGAACACCTCGCAACCAAGAATTTGCTTGTCTGCATTCCAGTTGTATTTGTTAGAAGAGAATTTATACAAAGTGTATTTATGTATTTTAACTTAATTTATTACAATTATAAACCTGTATAGGCCATGCCACTGTTCTTGTTACTGTTGAAATGGTGTGAGACTGTCCCTGTGGAACAGGCTCTTTGTCCACCCCCAAGATGATATGAGTGAATATTAAGCAGCAGCGGAAAAGTGACAGAAGTAAATTAGAGGACTTGGAGGGGGAAACTATCTCAGTACCACTTTGCCCACCACAAATCCCACGTGGACTGACATGGGTCTGATCCTGGGCCTCTGCTGCAAAAAGCCAGTGACTAACTGCCTGAGCTACAGCACAGCCTTAGGCAAAGCAGCATGGTTCTCTCAGAGTTCTTCAGGTCTCCCTAGCTAACCATCATTCCAGAACCACCCCATACTCATCTATCATCACCGTATGAGGTGAACAATAGCCCTGATTTAGCAGAACATTACCATGCCCTCCATTCTCAGTTAAAGGGTTGACACTCGGCTGGTATGACAGCTTCCATTTTTTTAGAAACCTGCATAGCTTTAAGCAATTACAAGAAAGATGCCCTTTTCAGCTTATAAACCAAACATTCTAACACTACAAACCAATTGGTAGTGCAGCTTTCTTTTACCAACAGAATAACTGGCTCAGTTATTGGCGGAGGCACTGACTATCCTGACAGTCCTTAGCTCTTTTCACTTTGACATAAATGATCATCCTGTCATACTAGTCAACACTAAATAAACTCTGCAGATGATAAAGCATTAATAAATTACCTTAAGACTACTTAAGTGCTTTATGTGCCTGTCTTCTTTTCTTAATGAGAGGAGCTGGAAACAATTTCTTTTAAAGAGTGCAAAGATCACTGTATGACTAAAAGCTGTTTAAATACCAGCACTGACTAGAAATATTCTCAATACCTGCTGCGTCCACCATCTTCAAAGGTAAAAGGTTATGCCAACCGAATGGGAAATATAAATGCTACATACCTGAAGCCACAGTAATTACTTTACCTTAATATTCATTCCTTGAATGAAAAATGAATAGTACTTTTCAAACATAAAGTATATTTTTAATCTAGTTGTGAAAAACAGAAGTTATGATATTCATACTCACTCTCCAGCACCGATAGCAAGGCTCTCGTTGTTGCCTTTGATGAAGTACATGTTATCCCCTGTCCAGTTGAACACTTGGAATTCAGGTGTGAATCGGAATAGCAGCGATTCACCAGTCCCATAGAAGTGGTCACTTACTTTCAGTGCACATGATGTCAATGCACCAAACACCTAAAACAAACAACATATACAAAGGAAATGAAATCTTCCACATGATAGGATTTTGTTTGCATATTAAAGTGACAAATAACAGGTTTGTGCATGTAGTCCAGTCACATATTACTCAACCATAAGAACAAGTGTTCCCCACCCCCATCCCTTGTAAACATTTTTTTCTTAATACTGAAGTTTAGAAATTCTATTAATAGGTTAAAAAATTTCCTTTCTTATCAATCAAGAGTTTCAGCATCAGAAAACACAAGTTTCTCAATCTGCTTGTGTGGCTATGATATTATGGATCCTAATGCTCAATATTTCAGTGTCAGAGCAGGGAACTCAGAATATTTGGATCTAGGAGACAGAAATATCCAGAGGACAATAATGAGAACCTTTATAATTTGTACTCTTCAACAAATATTATCCATTACAATGATCAAGTAAAGGAAAATGAGCTGAACAGAATAGATAGCATACATGGGGAAATAAGAAATGCAGGCAAAACTTTGTTAGAAAACTTAAATGAATGAAAGAGGTACTTGTGACAGCGATATTAAAATGGATCTCGAAAAATGAAGGTGTAAGGGAGTAGTGGCTCAATATGAAAACTCCAGTGAGATATGAATAACTAGTGATCTAGTGAATGTTACTTGCTGGAAACAGTCATTTTAAGCAATGGCCATGATCACTGATACCAGAAAATTCAAACATCAGGGTAGGTCACTATTTCACTGCCATGTCAACAGTTACACTCCTGGCAACCATTACAGGATTTATGCCACTTTTCCTGAGTGCTTCAACATAGTTTTTGGAGTTCTACCAATGAAGTAAGTTTAATTTCTGTATGACATTTAGATTTGTTAAATAAACACTCGGATTATTTGTGTTTGCCCTGTATATTATTTGGGCTCCAAGTATATATTGCTCAAACAAAGTAGGATGTGAATGACAAAGTGTGAAAATGTTTGATGTAACACACATTCTGACACAAGAATGTAACACAAATACATGCTTCTGGACAGTAACAGTTACCATCATCAGCAAATCACTTCAAGAACATGGAGAATGTATTACATCAACATTAAGCGGCACTCACATTATGTTCTGTGTCTTCTATGACCATCAGGATAGGACTTTCCAGTCTGTTCATCTTGCGGTACAGTGAATTTAAACTGAAGCCATGCTGCGATGTACTGAACACAAGCGTCCATACATAACCTGCAACAACGGAATAACACAAGTCATCTACATGAATGTCTAAATAACCAAGAGATCTGAAGCTGGTATTCATAGTAGAGGGCTTAATAAGTATCATTTAAAATGTTCTTACTATTTAACATTGTATCTTAATCACAATATTACTGAAATATATAACAGAAAAATAAGTAATATTCCTTACAAGTTAATTACAAAAATTTATTTTCACAATGTTTGGGCTTTTTAATGTGTATGTATATAATGGGAAGTAAAAGAAGTTAAGTCCAAGTGTCAAGAAACATTTTTTACCTTCCGCTCGAGCTGGGAGATGGCGACATAGCTTCTTGCGGTGCTCTTCTGAGAAGATCTCGGTAACACCAACTAAGTCTGGGAGGAATAGCTCGATGTCGAGGGAAGCTGCATTGCTGGCATATAAAGCCCGGCGCAGCTCCTCACTCATAGACAGTACCTGCAAGTTTATAATGATTATAATTAAAACAATAGTAACAGCATAGTGATAATGATACAAACACGAGTATAGACACACACATGTACGTGCGTGCACACAGACAGACACACACACACACCAACAATTACTCACTTAAAAATATTTTACATGCTACTTCTTTTCATTGTCTGAGAATGTTATCATTAACACAAAAATTGGAAACCTATTCTAAAACTGACGAATGGAAATACAAAAACAAACAAGTTTTTGTTGTTTTCTCTCTATGTCAGTGTGTCTTCCAATTCAAAGTAACCTCTCCTATTTCCAAAGTTTTCTGAATTTTGGTGGTCGCTGCTTACAGACACTGATGTTTAATTAGTTTTTCCTGGTACACAAAATCCTGTAAGATTTGAGGTTTTCACAGCGGTGAGTATGAAGATTTCTGTCTTCTGGGTTGTTGTTTCAATATTCATCGCCCTGATGACGGAGGCAGTATGACCTCTGAAACGTTGGTTAACATCGACCAGACTACACAGCGCAACAACCCAGAAGACAGAAATCTTCACACAAAATCCTTCTTATAACAGCAAATAAAAAATGTAGTGTAGTTATGAGTAATTACCTTCACGGCCAGACATTTATCAACAGGCAGCATAATGCTTGCTCAGAAACTAACAAATGTAACTCAGTGTTATTAATTCCACTGCATGAAATTAACATCAAAGGTACATACAAAAGGTGTTTTATGAAAAATGTTGCGTAATAACTTGTTACACTCCACAAACTGAAAACCTGACTTATTATCACCGACTTCTGAACCATCAATATGTATTTCTTGCAGCAATTGGGTCACCAAATAATATGATACGAGTGCACACTATAGGTTCACTTCAAGTATGTCTCTCACATGCTGACAGCAGTATGATACACACTCACAAAATAAATTATTCTTTATCAACAGTGATTACAGATTTGTAACGCTTACCTTCAAAGAAATTGTTTCTTACACAACAGAACTTACAAAGACAAAACCTTAAATGGTCATGAACAGTGTCACGAATAATGCATGATAAAGTAACTATTAAAATATGTTTAGTATTGTTCTTCCAAGATACATTTTTGGCAACAAGATGGTGGTTTTCACATTATTGACATAATTTCATTATTCCATTGTAAGTGGAAATGTTAAAGACATAACTAATTTCGTGAGGTACAGTTCTCCTTCAGAAGCTGATAGTCACTCATATACTGAGGAACCCATGTTACAAAAGTCTGCCACTGGTCCCTAGTTTGAACCAGATAAATCCTGTCCACACCATCACACCCTGTTTTCAAAGAACTGGCCCAAGTATGGTGTTAACAGCTCGTTAAATGTCCCACCCACCTCATACTAATTTTTATGACCACCATAAGAATATCTGGTTAAGGGAACAAATTATTGAAGTCCTCATTACAAAGAAAAACACTGCTAATGCTAGCTTCAACCCCGCAAGATGCTCTGATCATTCCCTCTCATTATTTTCCTCCATTTTATTCCCCTTCCGTTCTTACTCCTCATTTTTGGGATTCATGGACAAAGAAACAGCAAGTAAGGTTTTGCTCTTTTTTCAGCTTTCAATACTAACTCACCAGAATGGTCACACTCTTCACATAGTACATATCTTAAGGAATCTCAGTTTTATTGAACACATTTTCTCCAGGACATCCCAGAAGTTCTCCCCACTGCAGTTCTAACACAACCTCAACATTTCTATTTCAGTATTTCAGCTGATAATCGTGCTATATTTGTTGCTTTTCCTCAACTGCAATCATAGCTGACGCACACTCACGCCGCATAATTACGTTTTATTATATAGCTGGCAATTATCGACTTCTCAAAAAGGATTCTCTTTCATAGCGAGTGAGCCTCTAAAACAGTTGTATTCAACCTTTTTTGTTCGTGTACCCCCCAGATATAATTTCTCTTCAACTTTGTACCCCCAAAGTTGTTGGTGTATAATTCAAGTTATACATAGTATATAATCTACATCTAAAATAAATTAAATAAATTACATTACTGATTAATCAGTGTTTATCATAAAATAATATATATTTTTTAAATTTCACGTACCCCCGGGGGTACGCGTAACCCAGGTTGAATACCACTGCTCTAAGATAATTGTGACAGCATGGAACTTACGGCATTCATGTGAAACGGAGTACTTCATCCGCACACAGTGCATAACAGCAAAAACCAAATTCAAATCCGCCACGACAGATCACACCTCGAAATGCTGGTCGTAACTGCAACGCTGGCGTGCAGTTCACACACAACAGTGCCCGCGGGACAATTTCTACGACGTGTACAAAACCTGATAGCAACAGCGTTCTAACTACACTTGAAACGGGGTGCAAGGTCTCACTACATGCTTACTTAATTGTACGAAAGGACATGAAAAACAAAGGAATTAAAGAAAATTAAAGATGAAGAGACCGAGCCAAGGCAAGAATGAAGTGAATTTTAAAAAAGAGCAATTTTTCGTTCCCCATAAAATAATATTCACCTACGTCCTTGTTCGATAACTGTTTTTTCCCTTAGTCACTCTTTGTTTAAAGGCGAGAAGAGACGTCAACAACTCGGTTTTTCTTCTACAAACCGTCAGTCCGAGATGTAACAAACCCAGTAACAGCGCAATGTTCAGAGACGACAACCAAGGATCACATGTTCCCTGGCATCGCACGTGCCAAGCCATACGCCACCTGGCTTAAAACTCGTTTGAGTGAAATATAACTGAGGTCGATAACGCAGCCGCACTAATTATATAAAGCAGCCTTAGGATGCCAATATTTGCTGAACTGGTCAAGAAATTGTCGGTCATTTAAGGAAACAGGAAAGTTAATTATCATGTTCAGAAGAGTACGCCACTAGTCCCTACACTTAAAAAATTAGGTCTTCCCATTTAATTCATCCACAGCCGAGGTCCTGCGAAACAATTCGTACCGTGTTTTTATTTTTACTGTGAAGGGTTGTCAGCCCGCCCAAATACCCGAGCTGCCTGCGAACGTTTATTTAATTTTTTCAGCAGCTACCCCACAGCATCCTCAAGCTACAAAGTGAGGACGCGCTATGATGCCGGTGATAACCTATCGCCCTTTTGATAGAGGCAGCAACTACCTATGAAACTTCGGGAAACTTCTGCCAGACTTCACGGCGCAACAACCCACAAGACAGTCATCTTCAATACCCTCTTTTTGCCCTTCAAAATTGGAAGTCGGAGGCAAAAAAATGCCTAACACCAAAGCCGTAAAATACTACACACTATGCAACACAATTCTGTACTATATACTACTAATATTTCTAATGTTGCTTTTCACTTGTTAGTGAGTGCAGCTCGTGTTACACAGGCAGGTGGATAAACGTCAAGGATAAAAAACTGTACTTACACTTTCAAGGGAAAATACATTAATTTTTCGGAGTATTACCGTGTCAGCAGTTACGGAATCTTCCTCATTCGGTTATTTCTGAAGGCCTTCAATTATATGAAGTTTACACTTGCCCAGAGGGCGATGTTTAACTAGCAACCGTCCAACTGGTAGAGACATGTTTTCATTTGCCTCTTTGCAAACCGGCCTGCTCTCACGGAGCGCCTTCGCAGTCCCACGTCTAACGCAAACCTGACGACAAGCCCACTATCCTCGCGTGCCTACTACGTCTTCATATTTGTCGCGCTCCAAGTGATGCTTGACTAGAGATGGCGACAAACAGCACGTCACGTACCTTCGACAGAAAGGTTAAAACAACAGAAAATGTTGACGTCCACAAGGCTTCTTCAGAGTTCGCCAAGGTGTGCAGGTAGAATGTCCAGAAAGTGAGAGCACTGTTGGCACTGCCAAACATAACTCAAGAACGATAATTATTTCTTGTTAATTACCATTCCTGTATCTTGCATCTGTTGCCCATTCACGCACCATATGGTGAACGTTTTTAACCGGCTAGTTACAATTTTCCTTAATAAGTCTAGAAATTAATATCGAAGCTCTCTCTATACATATTAAATGAACACTAGTTTTCATACCATACTCGAGAAGCTGTGTACTCTAAGCCGACATCTGCCAGGAAAAGTTACCATTATAAATGATAGTTCGTAAATTGTGGTGTAAGATTGTTGGGCGATCAGAAAGTTATGTGGTAGTTTGTTGTGTAACTCAATTTGACCTGTCCTTGCTGGTTCATTCTTAAGTCAGAATGGAAAGATATTGTTGTTGGAAGGCCAACCAACTAACGGTAAACTGTCGGATACAAAGTGCGTGAATTGCCAGGCTGCAACATTACTTTGCTTTCATTCCAAACACATTTAACCATGTCGACATTTCTCTGGGTTGTGGACTTGTAGGTGGATACCAACATCTTTGTCAGAAATTAGTGACCGTATGAATATGCACACATTAGCTCAGCAAACGGAGTACATGAACGAATAAAGAGTTTCTATGCAACAGGAAATGCAGGATCGAATTGTTTTTCACTGTGTTCCTCCATCTTTCAATTTCCTTAAAGATGCATACAGACCAACCTCCCCACCATATACGCTCACCAAGCAGGGTTTCATGACAAGATGATTGTATTATTGGTTGTAACGCCGTATGTCGGGAAGAAATTTAAGGACGTGTCAGAGGAGCTTGCTGCCTCCATCATCAGGGCGATCATCGCCAGCGCTATTGCCCACAGCCGACAGAAACTGAACAAAGAAAAATTACAGACGAACAACAGACAAAAAAACATGTCTGTTCGCCTCATTTCGCGATCGTGAACAGAAAGCAGCCTACTAATATTGGTGCCATGTTGACGCTTGATACCCTCTTGCACTACGCATGTCGCGAGCGAGCTAGCTAGCTAGCAGACTGGTTTCCCTCATCGGTCCCCCACAGCATCCATGCTGTACCATCCGCTGCTACCATAGTTTTTGCAGACATTGGTTCTTCGCGTTATTTCAGGTGCAGCAAAGCCATTTCGCCAAATTAAAGCTGTTCTAAGATGACGGAAC